GTTTATCATCCACCCTTATCAAACCACCCGTACCACGTATACATTCGTGGCATACCAGCATCTGGTAGGCTATTATTCTCACTAAACTTCACTCATAAACACCTTTATCATCAATGCTTCGGTCAATCTACATTATATAAACCTGTCGAGATAGCAACACTTGAGTTCGCCATAACAACTTTATCGTCAGTTTTAGCAGTAAATGAGATTATCTGTAGTAGCTAGAATAGGTATAAATAATAAACTAATTGTTCATTCACTCAGGTATTGTGTTGTTGTGTGGGTTGGTTGCGTAAAGCACCGCTGCAAAGCGAGCTGATTCCCAAACTCTCGCTTTACAAAACATACATCACGGGAATAACGGAGTGTGTACAGACCCGGGAGACCCGTGAAGATCCGGGGTAGAATAGGTCTTCAGCAACCCATACTAGCCGTAAAAGCCGACTATGCTTGTCGTAAAAAATGTTCCATGATCCAGTAATCATAGGAAATGGACAGACTGTTTCTATACGTGTACGTGCGTTCTGTCATGTACAGTCCAGTTCATTTCCCAGTAGACCCGTGAAGATTCCGGGTTAGAATAGGTCTTCAGCAACCCATGCTTGCCGTAAAAGGCGACTATGCTTGTCGTAAAAGGAGACTAACGGGATCGGATGGTCAGGATCGCTGACTTGGTTGATGCATGTCATCGATCCCAATTGCGTGGATCGATGTTCACGATGTTGATAACTGGATTGTCTGGTCAGACTCGATTATTTACAGACCGCCGTCATATAGCTGGAATACTGCTGAGCGCGGCGTTACACAAACAAACAAACACCACTGAGTAAAACCAAGCACTCTCGCGTACCATAGATAGATTATAATACGAGCATGTGTGTCTTGTAAATGTTACGAAGCTAGTGTCACAATTTTTATATTTCCCTAACGAGAGCCAGGGTAATATGTGAATTCTTGCACGAGTTTCGTAAAATCAGTATGACACACATGAAAGTGTGATAATTTCTTTTTACCCATCATTTTGAGCCCCACCTTTAGAAAACGGCACCGATCAGGATCACCGTCCTAGAAACTGCAATTGCCGAAATACGTCAACAATCTTCAGCTATGACGTCGCCTCTAGTGTGGCGACATTTTTCCCGCGAAATTACACATATCTAGAAATAATCGGAGAGAGGAGGTTCTCTTAACCAGACTTGGTCTTGGGCATTGTGGTCTTGGTGCTTATCTAAATGCTTATCAACAATGCCGTCCGGGTGACGTAAACCATACATTGGTGCGCGTGAAGGGATCTTTGCATTCACACTCTATATCCCAGAGTTTCATGCGACTAGCAAAGTCCCTCTGCCACAGGCCAGCGCCATGTGACGATTCGTCACATCTTACACAGTCCATTCAAGATATTGCATATGCTTTTCATCCGTTTCATGTTTGACAAGTCTACACATTTTCATAAACAAATGTCAAAGAATGGTTAACTTTCATTTAGAAAGTATGCAAATACGTAAAAATCTACTTGTTTTTGCGTAGTTATCCTATGTTTACATTGGTTGTACGGCTCCACGTGCTGTCATCGAAGCCCAACGGAGAGCTAGCGACACGGTCTCTTTGATGCATAAATATATGTTGTCATGCAACTCACTGTCGCAGTTGTAGTAGCATATCTATATAGTTATGCAAAACAATATGTAAAGCGCCCCCAAATACTTACATTAGTCCGTTCTATACCGATTTCTGAAAAAGCGCGTTTGTTTACAAACAAGAGAAAAGTCCGGTCACGTGATATGCAAATTAGCCTGTGGCAGTGGTGTTATGCTGAGTCACCACTGCGACGGAGTGTGGCCAGCGCCATGTGACGATTCGTCACATCTTACACAGTCCACTTAAGATATTGCATATGTTGTTCATCTTTTTCCTTTTTTTAACAAGTCTACATATCTAGTTACTCATATGTCATAGAATGGTGAACTTTCTTTGAGAAAATATCCAAAACGTGAAAAACTATTTCCATTTGCGTTGTTATCCTATGTTTACATTGGTTGTCCGGCTCCACGTGCTGTCATCGAAACCCTACGCTGGAGCTAGCGACACGGCCACTTTGATGTGTAAATATGTATTGTCATGCAACTCACTGTCGCAGTTGTAGTAGCATATTTATATAATTATGCAAAACAATACGTAAAGCGCCCCCGAATACTTGCAGTGGTCCGTTCTATACTGATTTCTGAAAGAGCGCGTTTGTTTATAAACAAGAGAAAAGTCCGGTCACGTGATATGCAAATTAGCAGTGGTGTTGTGCTAAGTCACCACTGCGCCGGAGTGTGATTTGCATCGGTTCACATACGATATTTATGAACACTGCTATTTCTAACTCTGTTGGTAATAAAAAGAGGATATTATATCTTCAGCTATGACGTCGTTTCTGGTGTGAGGTCATTCTCGTGATATGACGTGATATGACCCTACGGCACACATGTTTATTATGTACCCCGATATGTTCGCCCTCGTTGGTAATAAAAATATATATGATCCTAAATGGCTAATTCGTGACGCGAGTGGCTCGAAGGGCTGTTCAATTGATTCCCAGGCTGAAACGCGAAGGTTAACACAGAAATCGGTACGTACATACCTAAATTGTGAAATCAATAACCACACAATATGAACAACTTATATTGAAGTAAGACGAGTTCTATGGATGAACAACTTCTTTATTACAATTGGTGCGACGTTTCGGTGTAGATCCTAAAAAACTGTAAATGAGGGGGTATAAAGAAGAAAGAAATATAGTAAAGGTGGTAGAATGGGATAAGAGAGCTTAGTGACAGTATGATAGAGCTGTAGGAACCTAATCTACTGGGAGCACCTAGTTGGAAAGAAATATGATAAGTATGTGATCAGTTAGGCTGATATGCTAATATAATACATAACTACTACAAACACCGTGACCAAGGCTATTACATACCCCCGGCGTACCATCAACTCATCAAAGACCCCAATCAGCCATAATCCCGTTGTTTACATTACTGGCTTCATCCTTTGTTTCATGGCACTGACTTCACCGATGATTGTCATCACTACCCTTGTGTGTACATAACAGGCTTCTCTACCCCAGTATAACAATATCTACTCTACTGTGTAGACATTGCCTCCTACTTGTATATATACTTGCTTACTACACTCTGTAAATCACTTGCTTGATAACGGTGTTAGAACCTACACCGAAACGTCGCTCTTAATTGTAATAAAGAAGTTGTTCATCCATAAATTCTTATCCTTAATTACTCCAACTTCTAAATGCCTATCAGGGAAAATAAACAACACGTTGAACGTGCACGTGTTTTGTTCATCAGAGGAACTTTTGTAACTGGCACTGTATCAGTCATATGTAACCTGCATGCTCGTCAGACACACTTTCTAGGGTAGAAATGATCACGTCGCACAATCATTCTAGGCAAGAAATGATCACGTCGCACAATCATTCCAGGCTAGAATTGATCACGTCACACAATCATTCTAGGCTAGAACTGATGACGTCACGCAATCATTCTAGGCTAGAATTGATCACGTCACGCAATCATTCCAGGCTAGAACTGATCACGTCACACAAACATTCTAGGCTAGAATTTTATCACGTCACGCAATCATTCCAGGCTAGAATTGATCACGTCACACAATCATTCTAGGCTTGAACTGGTGACGTCACGCAATCATTCTAGGCTAGAATTGATCACGTCACGCAATCATTCCAGGCTAGAACTGATCGTGTCACACAAACATTCTAGGCTAGAATTGATCACGTCACGCAATCATTCCAGGCTAGAATTGATCACATCACGCAATCATTCCAGGCTAGAATTGATCACGTCACACAATCATTCTAGGCTAGAACTGGTGACGTCACACAATCATTCTAGGCTAGAATTGATCATGTCACACAATCATTCTAGGCTAGAATTGATCATGTCACGCAATCATTCCAGGCTAGAACTGATCACGTCACACAATCATTCTAGGCTAGAACTGGTCACGTCACACAGACATTCTAGGCTAGAACTGGTCACGTCGCACAGTCATTCTAAGCTAGAACTGGTGACGTCACACAATCATTCTAGGCTAGAATTGATCACGTCACGCAATTATTCCAGGCTAGAACTGATCACGTCACACAAACATTCTAGGCTAGAATTGATCACGTCACGCAATCATTCCAGGCTAGATTTGATCACATCACGCAATCATTCCAGGCTAGAATTGATCACGTCACACAATCATTCTAGGCTAGAACTGGTCACATCACACAATCATTCTAGGCTAGAACTGGTGACGTCACACAATCATTCTAGGCTAGAATTGATCATGTCACGCAATCATTCCAGGCTAGAACTGGTGACGTCACACAGTCATTCTAAGCTAGAACTGGTGACGTCACACAATCATTCTAGGCTAGAATTGATCATGTCACACAATCATTCTAGGCTAGAACTGGTCACGTCGCACAGTCATTCTAAGCTAGAACTGGTGACGTCACACAATCATTCTAAGCTAGAATTGATCACGTCACACAAACATTCTAGGCTAGAACTGGTGACGTCACACAGTTTTTTGGTGAAAAAAAACCCAGAGTTGAAAGATGGTAAATTTCGGGGTTTATGCTGACAGCCTGAAATGTTTATATACGCCAGACATATTCTTCCTGAACTTGACTGCCCATAATTAAGGGTGCATATATAACACATGAGTGCGTTTTATACACGAATAAAAAAGTCTTGTGTACATTGATCTTTCTGAAGGGGTGCTAATTTAACTAGGATTGTTCACTAGCCAATATATTAGCAAATATCGCCGTGGGCGCTTATTACGTTGAATACGGTATGCTGCTAAATGACAAGATACTACAGACAGTTTATGTTCGTGGTAGTAGATCTAGATATGCTTTTGCAAGTGTGGCTCTTATTCGCGTAAAGGCGTTTCGCGTGTTGGAAGCGGCCCGCTAGGTGGCACTGAAACTGTCATGGCGGACAAGGGCGAAAACGTGACTCCTTCAGGGGATGAAAACAATGCTAAAGAGACCGAAAATAAACAATCGTCATCTGAAACAAAACCCGACGAAGACAGTGAACTAAATGATCTCCTAGACAGTGAGTGTCACGTGAGAGTAAACCGTATTTATCTGATTATACACAAAATTGTGCCTGTAATTACGCGATGCGAAGAATTTCGAGAATTGCCATGATTTGCAGAATTAACATTAGGTGTTTAGTGTGTGTTATTATGATAAATATAAAATTGATGTTTCATACGACTTTTCAGATTTTTTGCATCTTATTTTCTGCTGTTTTTTCAACATGGGACAAAGGGTTGTTGTCAAGACGCCAACATGTGTGAACGGCCTCAAAACTCAATCCATGAAATCTGTGGAATTCGAAACAGATATCATAATAGATCTAATAACTAAGACCTACTTGATATATTTTTTTACCTATATAAGCTGGATCTACAGGCCTATAGAAAAAAATGTAATTAAACTGATGATAGTTGCTATGAAACTGACTTACAAGCAATGATATTTGTTGCTAATAGTGGACAGTTATAACATTCCTTCCTTTCTCCTATATTTTATTGAGATTGTCGTCAAAGGTTATAGGTTTTCAGACAGTCATGTTAATTGTGATTATACCCGCTATAACGGGGGTGTATATCATCAAACAGACATTGTAAATACTCAGATGATAGCTTGTTAATAAGAGAAAGTTGTCTTTTGTAAGTGAATGAGATGTTTTTAAGTTATTCATGTCATTGCAGAGAAAACCGAATGTTTTGTGAAAGTGTCTGAAAACCCTATAACGAGTATTCAACTTATTTTTGGAACTATGAGTGAAAATGTGTGTGACATCACATGGTGACATCGTTTTCAATTTATCACAATACATAATGCACTGCCATAATGATGTGTTGCTATGTGAACAATAGTGAGTATGGTTTTACGCTGCTTTTAGCAATAATCCAGCAATATCAAGGCGGGGCACACCAGAAATGGGCTTCACACATTGTACCCATGTCAGGAATCCAACCCGGGTCTTCAGCATGACGAGCCAACGCTTAAACCACAAGGCTACCCGACCGCCCCTGTGATAGACTCTTGGGGGAAAATATTGTGTACACAAATGAAGCAATGAATGGATCAGTTGGTCAGGCTTGGTGTCCTGGTTCACTGCATCTCACTGTACCCGGGGGGGGCACGGGGTGGCCCAGTCGTCTAAGGCGCCGCGATTCGCTGTGCAGAGTTGCATCCCTTGGACACGCCATAAACCTATGATTGGGGGTTCGAATCCCGGTTCGCCCCGATTATGTTTCTAGGTTTGTCAGCACCATACCCGTGCTCGTGGGTTTCACCGAAGTGGTAAACGTCTTAGACCTGCATCACTTCGGGCTTTCCTCCCACATTAAGCTAACACGCCGTGATATAACTGGAATACTGTTAAAAGCGGCGTTAAACCCAACTCACTCACTCACTGTACCCGGACACAGCTAGTGGGAGGTTGCTTAAACTATCAATCGTTGGATTGTTCCTAGTTCTCTGAAGTGCTTCGATGAGTGAGTGAGTGAGTGAGTACGGTTTTACGCCGCTTTTAACAATATTCCAGCAATATCACGGCGGCTTCACACATTGTACCCATGTCGGGAATCGAACCCGGGTCTTCGGCGTGACGAGCGAACGCTTTAACCACTAGGCTGCTTCGATGACAACACTTGGAGGATAAATAGGCAAATGGAAATAGTTTTTCATGTTTCAGGATATTTTCTCACTGAAAGTTATGTTTATCTAATTGTGTAGACTTGTCCAAACTGAAACACATCAAAAACACATCAAAAACACATGAATGGACTGTTTAAGATGTGACGATGTGACATTGGTACTAGACAGAGGAGAGTGACTGACTTCATTTCGACCAATCCATATCTATATTGTAATCCAGGCTTTGATAACACTGGCTTCTAATCTAATCAAGCTGGCGGTGGCACGGATGGCCCAGCCGTCTAAGGCACCGCAATTTGCTGTGCTGAGTTGCGTCCCTTGGGCATGCCAGGCTTGCTGACTTGGTTGATGCATGTCATCGATCCCAGTTGCGTGGATCGATGTTCATGATATTAATCACTGGACTGTCTGGTCCAGACACGATTATTTACAGACCGCCGTCATATAGCTGGAATATTGCTGAGTGCGGCATTAAACAACAAACCAACCAACCAACCAACCAACCAACCCTTGGGCACGCCAGAAACCTATGATCGTGGGTTCGAAACCCGGTTCACCCCGATTATGTTTCTAGGTTTGTCAGCACCATACCCGTGCTCGTGGGTTTCACTGAAGTGGTAAACGTCTGAGACCTGCATCACTTCGGGCTTTCCTCCCACATTAAGCTGACACGCCGTGATATAACTGGAATAGTGTTAAAAACGGCGTTAAACCAAACTCACTCACTCACTCACTAATCAAGCTGGCAAGTATTATGTTACTCATCCGTGCAGGCAGTTTTGTAGACCTGTTTAGAGGCTGATGTTCATCCACAAATCTTCAGTAAATGTCAGTACAAATTCCCACATTGGAATTAAGAAATTCCTTGTTCATGTTAATATAGTAATAGTTTGTTTGTTGTTAAACGCCACACTCAGCAATATTCCAGCTATGTGACGGCTGTCTGTAAATAATCGGGTCTGGACCAGACATTCCAGTGGTTGACATCAAGATCGATCTACACATTTGGGATACGATGACATGCATCAACCAAGTCAGCAAGCCTGACCGCCCGATCCTGTTAGTCTCCTCTTACGACAAGCATAGTCGCCTTTTACGACAAGCATGGGTTGCTGAAGACCTATTCTAACCAGTATCTTTATGGGTCTAATATAGTTATGACTAATTGTAAGGCTTAGTAGGGGAACATTATGTATATCAGTGATAACAGGACCTACAAACAGGAAGAGGCTTTTATGCTTAGTTTTACAATATTGCACTGAATGCAGTGTTAAAATATCTCAGAAATTGGCATGTTTGGAAAAATAAGAACTATAAAATAATCTCAATTTTAAACAAAATAATGCCTTATTCCCAATTTGCCTACCATGGGCACATAGTTAGGAATCCTAGGTGAGAACCCTTGGATGAAAATCATTGAAATCATTCATGTAATATATTTGTGAAAAATAGAAGTCATTCATTAGTTTTATACATATTTCACCAAACACCAAGTGAAAGTATTAGAAATTTAATAAAAAACAAATTAAGATTTTTTAGATTTCAAATCATGATAAATTCATGTAATTCTAGAAAATCAAAAACTCTTAAGTGACTGTTAGTTTATTATTAGTATTAAGAACCATTGCTTATTTTTATTATTTTTAGAATTATTTTTGGTATGGTTCGTTGCAGCTGTAGATTGAATCATGACTGAATTGTGTTTGTCACCTGCAGGTGCCTTGGAAGACTTTGACAAGCCCAGGACAGACCAGCCAGGTGTCGGGCAGGTGTTGGACGGCAGTGATGTCGACACCTCAGGACCAGCACCTGTAGCAGGGGCAGCAGCCATGCCCAGCCCAGTGAGTATCGGTAGCTCCTCAGGGAGACTGTCTCTGTGATGTTGTGGAAAGAGCATCTGCCTGGAGGTCTCCGTGGTGTAGTGGATAGAGCATCTGCCTGGAGGCTGTCTCTGTGGTGTAGTGGATAGCGCATCTGCCTGGAGGTCTCCGTGGTGTAGTGGATAGCGCATCTGCCCAGAGGCTGTCTCTGTGGTGTAGTGGATAGCGCATCTGCCCAGAGACTGTCTTCGTGGCATTGTTGATAGAGCATCTGCCTGGAGGCCGTCTCCGTCGTGTAGTGCATAAAGCATCTGCCCAGAGGCTGTCTCTGTGGTGTAGTGGATAGAGCATCTGCCTGGAGGCTGTCTCTGTGGTGTAGTGGATAGAGCATCTGCCTGGAGACTGTCTCTGTGGTGTAGTGGATAGCGCATCTGCCTGGGGCTGTCTCTGTGGTGTAGTGGATAGCGCATCTGCCCAGAGGCTGTCTCTGTGGTGTAGTGGATAGCGCATCTGCCTGGAGGCTGTCTCTGTGGTGTAGTGGATAGAGCATCTGCCTGGAGGCCGTCTCCGTCGTGTAGTGGATAAAGCATCTGCCCAGAGGCTGTCTCTGTGGTGTAGTGGATAGCGCATCTGCCCAGAGGCTGTCTCCGTGGTGTAGTGGATAGCGCATCTGCCCAGAGGCTGTCTCTGTAGAGCATCTGCCTGGAGGCTGTCTCTGTGGTGTAGTGGATAGCGCATCTGTCTGGAGGCTGTCTCTGTGGTGTAGTGGATAGCCCATCTGCCTGGAGACTGTCTCTGTGGTGTAGTGGATAGCGCATCTGCCTGGAGACTGTCTCTGTGGTGTAGTGGATAGCGCATCTGCCTGGAGGCTGTCTCTGTGGTGTAGTGGATAGCGCATCTGCCTGGAGGCTGTCTCTGTGGTGTAGTGGATAGCGCATCTGCCCAGAGGCTGTCTCTGTGGCGTAGTGGATAGCGCATCTGCCCAGAGACTGTCTCTGTGGTGTAGTGGATAGCGCATCTGCCCAGAGGCTGTCTCTGTGGTGTAGTGGATAGCGCATCTGCCTGGAGGCTGTCTCTGTGGTGTAGTGGATAGCGCATCTGCCCAGAGGCTGTCTCTGTGGCGTAGTGGATAGAGCATCTGCCCAGAGACTGTCTCTGTGGTGTAGTAGATAGAGCATCTGCCTGGAGGCTGTCTCCGTGGTGTAGTGGATAGCGCATCTGCCCAGAGACTGTCTCTGTGGTGTAGTGGATAGCGCATCTGCCTGGAGGCTGTCTCTGTGGTGTAGTGGATAGCGCATCTGCCTGGAGACTGTCTCTGTGGTGAAGTGGATAGCGCATCTGCCTGGAGACTGTCTCTGTGGTGAAGTGGATAGCGCATCTGCCTGGAGGCCGTCTCCGTGGCGTAGTGGATAGCGCATCTGCCCAGAGGCTGTCTCTGTGGTGTAGCGGATAGCGCATCTGCCTGGAGGCTGTCTCTGTGGTGTAGTGGATAGCGCATCTGCCCAGAGACTGTCTCTGTGATGTAGTGGATAGCGCATCTGCCAGGAGGCTGTCTCCGTGGTGTAGTGGATAGAGCATCTGCCTGGAGGTCTCTGTGATGTAGTGGATAGCGCATCTGCCCAGAGGCTGTCTCTGTGGTGTAGTGGATAGCGCATCTGCCCAGAGACTGTCCAATAGTTAAGGTATCATAAGGACTAGTAGAAAATTGCCATTTTTAAGGGTTTTGCTATATATTATCATCATAAGAACTAGTGGACCAAAAATGTTAGTTTCTACCGCTGTTACATGTAACTTGCAATGTATAATTTATTTGCTTGGTTTTGTGAAGGCTGACATAGCCAGCATGTTTGGTGGAGTACAAGGCCCAGATGACCCCATCTCGGAGGAGGTCGCAGACGAGATGGCCAGCCAGTTTGAGGAGGCGATGAAGGCATTCATGTCCCAGGACCCCAATATGATGCAGCAGATTGAGAAGCTGGCCGATGCCGCAGGCAGTGCAGGTCAGTTCACAACCAAGCTCCTCTAAGGAAGAGAATATATGGATGTCAACTTCTTTATTATGAGGAACACAACGTTTCAGAGAATGCCATGAGGCAGAGAGCATATGTATGTACATGTAAGGACAACAAAATTAATAAGATAGGTGGAAACGAACAAAGGGTAGAAGTGAGTAAGTGAGTGAGTTGGGTTTAACGCCACTTTTAACAGTATTACAGTTATATCGTTGCGTGTCAGCTTAATGTGGGAGGAAAGCCCGAAGTGATGCAAGTCTCAGATGTTTACCACTTCGGTGAAACCAACGAACATGGGTATGGTGCTGACAAACCTAGAAACATAATCAGGGCGAACCGGGATTTGAACACACAATCATAGGTTTTTGGCGTGCCGAAGGGACGCAACTCTGCACAGCGAATCGCGGCGCCTTCGACGACTGGGTCACTCGTGCCCCCTCAATGGGCAGAAACTAACAAGGGAAGCCAACATATGATTGGCGCTGATAGGTGATTAGCAATAGACAATGGAAGCCAACACTTTACAGTAATAAGCCCTTATGGTATGGAAGCCAGTACTTAAGTTATCATAGCTAAGTAATAGGTAATGGACACTGGGCAAACAGGAGGCTGGGGGTATTTAGCACTGATAGATGAAAGAATGGACATAGCAATGGACAAATTGAAGCCAGCTAGGTAATTAGCACCGACAAAGATCAAAGCAATAAGTCCCAAGCACAAGGCAGATAGCTTCCCTAGTTACGGTTCATGGCTGGCTGGTGTCTCCTGATGTCAATTGCTTCTTGTAGTTTCCTTTGTCGCTAGTTGTTGTTGGTAGACAGGACTTTGGTGGTTTCCCACATGATGAAATGGTTTTGGTTCTTCAGGATGTGTTCGGAAATAGAGGATTTCAGGTCGAGTTTGTTAACAATAACCCTATTTTACAAGTTTTGTCCTTGCTACCTCCCACATTCAATGCTCCATGGGCTAGTAGAGGTGTTGTTCACTGTGATAAACCGAGGCTGGATGATGCAAGCAATGGTGGAACTGTTTCAGGGGATTCTGTGGAGGCCCAGCAGGAGTTTGCCAAGACCCTCGGACAGACGCTGACGGGGATGGCTGAGAACGCAGAGACTCTGCAGGTGTGTAGGGATGTGGGGGAGGTTGGTTTGCCAAGACCCATGGACAGGCATAACACATGTTTATAACCATTTACAGCAACGTGGCACATCTCAGGGAGATATGTCTGGTTATAACACATGTTTATATCCATGGTAAAGCAACATGGCACATCTCAGGAGATGTGTCTGTTTAAAACACGTGTTTATATCCATGGTAAAGCAACATGCCACATCTCAGGGAGATATGTCTGGTTATAACACATGTTTATATCCATGGTAAAGCAACATGGCACATCTCAGGAGATGTGTCTGTTTAAAACACGTGTTTATATCCATGGTAAAGCAACATGGCACATCTCAGGGAGATATGTCTGGTTATAACACATGTTTATAACACGTTTTACAGCCACAGGGCACATCTCAGGGAGATATGTCTGGTTATAACACATGTTTATAACACATGTTTATAACCATGTTAAAGCACATGGCAGATCTCAGGGAGATATGTCTGGTTATAACACATGTTTATAACACGTTTTACAGCCACAGGGCACGTCTCAGGAAGATATGTCTGGTTATAACACATGTTTATAACACATGTTTATAACCATGTTAAAGCAACATGGCAGATCTCAGGGAGATATGTCTGGTAATAACACATGTTTATAACCATGTTAAAGCAACATGGCACATCTCAGGAAGATATGTCTGGTTATAACACATGTTTATAACACGTGTTACAGCAACATGGAACATCTCAGGGAGATATGTCTGGTTATAACACATGTTTATAACACATGTTTTTAACCATGGTAAAGCAACATGGCAGATCTCAGGGAGATATGTCTGGTTATAACACATGTTTATAACCATGTTAAAGCAACATGGCACATCTCAGGAAGATATGTCTGGTTATAACACATGTTTATAACACGTGTTACAGCAACATGGCAGATCTGAGGGAGATATGTCTTGTTATAACACATGTTTATAACCATGTTAAAGCAACATGGCAGATCTCAGGGAGATATGTCTGGTTATAACACATGTTTATAACACGTGTTACAGCAACATGGCACATCTCAGGGAGATATGTCTGGTTATAACATGTGTTTATAACCATGGCTAAGCAACATGGCACATCTCAGGGAGATATCTCTGGTTATAACACGTTTATATCCATGGTAAAGCAACCTGGCACATCTCAGGGAGATATCTCTGGTTATAACACATGTTTATATCCATGGTAAAGCAACATGGCACATCTCAGGGAGATATCTCTGGTTATAACACATGTTTATAACACGTTTTACAGCAACATGGCACATCTCAGGGAGATATGTCTGGTTATAACACATGTTTATAGCACGTTTTACAGCAACATGGCACATCTCAGGGAGATATGTCTGGTTATAACACATGTTTATATCCATGGTAAAGCAACATGGCACATCTCAGGGAGACATGTCTGGTTATAACACATGTTAAAGCAACATGGCAGATCTCAGGGAGATAATGTCTGGTTATATCACATGTTAAAGCAACATGGCACATCTCAGGGAGATATGTCTGGTTATAACCATGTTAAAGCAACATGGCACATCTCAGGGAGATATCTCTGGTTATAACACATGTTAAAGCAACATGGCAGATCTCAGGGAGATAATGTCTGGTTATATCACATGTTAAAGCAACATGGCACATCTCAGGGAGATATGTCTGGTTATAACCATGTTAAAGCAACATGGCACATTTCAGGGAGATATGTCTGGTTATAACTCATGTTAAAGCAACATGGCAGATCTCAGGGAGATAATGTCTGGTTATATCACATGTTAAAGCAACATGGCACATCTCAGGGAGATATGTCTGGTTATAACCATGTTAAAGCAACATGGCACATCTCAGGGAGATATCTCTGGTTATAACACATGTTTATACCCATGTTTCAGCAACAAATGTCGGAGGAGGAGCTGTCCCAGGCCTTCACCAACATGGGCGTAGGAGGCGGCGGCGGCGGCGGAGGGGCGGGGCCGAGCGGGGACATGTTTCCCATGATGCACGGCATGATGAAGATGCTGCTGTCCAAGGATGTCCTGTACCCATCACTCAAAGAGATAGCAGAGAAGGTGAGCTAAATATTCTCAACCGGAGGGCATGAGTGGCCAAGCGGTCTAAGGCACTGCAGATTGCTGTGCAGAGTTCCATCCCTTAGAAACATGTTCGTGGGTTATTTTTTTGGGTTTGTCAACACTATACCAAGGATCATGGGTTTCCCCAAAGAGGTGTGTGACTTCAGTCTTTCCTCACGAATCAAGCTGACACGCCCGAATATAACTGACAAACAGTTCATACTACACATACAACCACCCTGTAACATTTAGCAAGTAAAACTTTGTCACTGCAGAAATTGGAGTGAGTGAGTGAGTTGGGTTTAACGTTGCTTTGAACAATATTTCTGTTTTATCACGGCGTGTCAGCTTGATGTGGGAGGAGTGAGTGAGTGAGTTGGGTTTAACGCCCACTTTGAACAGTATTTCAGTTATATCACTGGGTGTCAGCTTGATGTGGGAGGAGTGAGTGAGTTGGGTTTAACGCCCACTTTGAACAGTATTTCAGTTATATCACGGCGTGTCAGCTTGATGTGGGAGGAGTGAGTGAGTTGGGTTTAACGCCCACTTTGAACAGTATTTCAGTTATATCACTGGGTGTCAGCTTGATGTGGGAGGAGTGAGTGAGTTGGGTTTAACGCCCACTTTGAACAGTATTTCAGTTATATCACTGGGTGTCAGCTTGATGTGGGAGGAGTGAGTGAGTTGGGTTTAATAATCCTTCGAACAGTATTTCAGTTATATCACGGCGTGTCAGCTTGATGTGGGAGGAGTGAGTGAGTGAGTTGGGTTTAACTCTGCTTTGAACAGTATTCCAGTTGTACCACGGCTTGTCAGCTTAATGGGGGAGTGAGTGAGTGAGTGAGTTGGGTTTAACTCTGCTTTGAACAGTATTTCAGTTATATCACGGCGTGTCAGCTTGATGTTGGAGGAGTGAGTGAGTTGGGTTTAACGCCCACTTTGAACAGTATTTCTGTTATATCACGGCGTGTCAGCTTGATGTGGGAGGAGTGAGTGAGTGAGTGAGTTGGGTTTAAAGCTGCTTTGAACAGTATTTCTGTTATATCACGGTGTGTCAGCTTGATGTGGGAGGAGTGAGTGAGTGAGTTGGGTTTAATGCTGCTTTGAACAGTATTTCTGTTATATCACAGCGTGTCAGCTTGATGTGGGAGGAGTGAGTGAGTGAGTGAGTTGGGTTTAAAGCTGCTTTGAACAGTATTTCTGTTATATCACGGTGTGTCAGCTTGATGTGGGAGGAGTGAGTGAGTGAGTGAGTTGGGTTTAACTCTGCTCTGAACAGTATTTCTGTTATATCACAGCGTGTCAGCTTGATGTGGGAGGCGTGAGTGATTAAGTTGGGTTTAACGCTGCTTTGAACAGTATTTCTGATATATCACGGCATGTCAGCTTGATGTGGGAGGAGTGAGTGAGTGAGTTGGGTTTAACGCTGCTTCAAACAGTATTTCTGTTATATCACGGCGTGTCAGCTTGATGTGGGAGGAGTGAGTGAGTTGGGTTTAATGCTGCTTTGAACAGTATTTCTGTTATATCACGGCGTGTCGGCTTGATGTGGGAGGAGTGAGTGAGTGAGTTGGGTTTAACGCCCACTTTGAACAATATTTCAGTTATATCACGGCATGTCAGCTTGATGTGGGAGGAGTGAGTGAGTGAGTGAGTGAGTGAGTTGGGTTTAACGCTGCTTTGAACAGTATTTTTGTTATATCACGGTGTGTCAGCTTGATGTGGGAGGAGTGAGTGATTGAGTTGGGTTTAATGCTGCTTTGAACAGTATTTCAGTAATATCACGTCGTGTCAGCTTGATGCGGGAGGAGTAAGTTAGTTGGGTTTAACGCTGCTTTGAACAATATTTCTGTTATATCACGGCATGTCAGCTTGATGTGGGAGGAGTGAGTGAGTGAGTTGGATTTAACGCTGCTTTGAACAGTATTCCAGTTATATCACGGCATGTCAGCTTGGTGTGGGAGGAAAGCCTGAAGTGATGCAAGTCTCAGACCAATTTTATGAAATGGTGCTGACAAGCCTAGAAACATTATCATGTCCAACCGGGATTCGAACCCACGATCATAGGTTTCTGGCATGCACAAGGGACATAACTCTGCATAGTGAACTTCGGTGCCTCAGAAGACTTGGCCAACAGTGTCCCCTCAGAAATGAGGTCTTTAAGAAAGGAAAGTCATGGTAACAGTATCTGGTTTGTTGTTTAGTGTCTTGATAACACATTGTAACTCTGTAGACGATTATGCTCCATCGTGGACTGGTACAATGGGATGACGTAGATGATGATGATGATGATGATGATGATGATGATGATGATGATATTTCCTGGAAGGTACCTATGGTTGTGGACTCCCAAGGGAGCTGTGATAGCACAATATTTTGTTGAATAGGGTAATTTAGTCTTTTGAAGATCTGCTTAGAATTTCTATATCAACCCATCGCCCCTTAAGATCTGTGTTAGACTTGGCCTTCAGCAACCCATGCTTGTTGTAAGGGACGACTAACAATATCGGGTGGTCAGGCTCGCTGACTTGGTTGATGCACGTCATCGTATCCCAGTTGTTTGGCTCGATGCTCATGATCTCCAGACTCGGTTATTTACAGATCACTGTCATACAGCTGGATAGTGAGTGCAGGGGTTAAACAACAAACAAACACTTAACACATAACACACTTGACATGGCTTCTGCACACCATTGTTCTGGTTGTGTAGTACCCCAAGTGGCTGGAGGAGCACAAGGACACAGAGTCGGCCTCGTCGCTGGACACGTACCGCCGCCAGCACCAGCTCATCTCCAGCATCTGTGTGGAGTTTGAGGCGGAGACCCCGACCGATACGGAGGAGACAAAGTCCCAGCGCTTCGAAAAACTCATGGAACTCATGCAGCAGGTGGGTGGCAGGCTCCTCACAGTTCTCTCCCTTGTTCCCAGCCAACCACTAGCTCTCTCCCTTGTTCCCAGCTCCTCACAGTTCTCTCCCTTGTTCCCAGCTCCTCACAGTTCTCTCCCTTGTTCCCAGCTCCTCATAGTTCTCTCCCTTGTTCCCAGCCAACCACTAGCTCCTCACAGTTCTCTCCCTTGTTCCCAGCTCCTCACAGTTCTCTCCCTTGTTCCCAGCTCCTCGTAGTTCTCTCCCTTGTTCCCAGCCAACCACTAGCTCCTCACAGTTCTCTCCCTTGTTCCCAGCTCCTCACAGTTCTCTCCCTTGTTCCCAGCTCCTCGTAGTTCTCTCCCTTGTTCCCAGCCAACCACTAGCTCCTCATAGTTCTCTCCCTTGTTCCCAGCTCCTCACAGTTCTCTCCCTTGTTCCAAGCTCCTCGTAGTTCTCTCCCTTGTTCCCAGCCAACCACTAGCTCCTCACAGTTCTCTCCCTTGTTCCCAGCTCCTCACAGTTCTCTCCCTTGTTCCAAGCTCCTCACAGTTCTCGTTCCAAGCTCCTCACAGTTCTCTCCCTTGTTCCCAGCCAACCACTAGCTCCTCACAGTTCTCTCCCTTGTTCCCAGCCAACCACTAGCTCCTTACAGTTCTCTCCCTTGTTCCCAGCCAACCACTAGCTCCTCACAGTTCTCTCCCTTGTTCCAAGCTCCTCACAGTTCTCTCCCTTGTTCAAACCAACCACTAGCTCCTCACAGTTCTCTCCCTTGTTCCAAGCTCCTCACAGTTCTCTCCCTTGTTCCCAGCCAACCACTAGCTCCTCACAGTTCTCTCCCTTGTTCCAAGCTCCTCACAGTTCTCTCCCTTGTCCCCAGCCAACCACTAGCTCCTCACAGTTCACTTCCTTGTTCCCAACCAACCACTAGCTCCTCACAGTTCTCGCCCTTGTTCCAAACCAACCACTAGCTCCTCACAGTTCTCTCCCTTGTTCCAAGCTTCTCACAGTTCTCTCCCTTGTTCCAAGCTCCTCACAGTTCTCTCCCTTGTTCCCAACCAACCACTAGCTCCTCACAGTTCTCTCCCTTGTTCCAAGCTCCTCACAGTTCACTTCCTTGTTCCCAACCAACAACTAGCTCCTCACAGTTCTCTCCCTTTTTCCCAACCAACCACTAGCTCCTCACAGTTCTCACCCTTGTTCCAAGCTTCTCACAGTTCTCTCCCTTGTTCCAAGCTCCTCACAGTTCTCTCCCTTGTTCCCAACCAACCACTAGCTCCTCACAGTTCTCTCCCTTGTTCCAAGCCAACAACCAGCTCCTCACAGTTCTCTCCCTTGTTCCAAGCTCCTCACAGTTCTCTTCCTTGTTCCCAACCAACCACTAGCTCCTCACAGTTCTCTCCCTTGTTCCCAGCCAACAACCTGCTCCTCACAGTTCTCTCCCTTGTCCCCAACCAACCACTAGCTCCTCACAGTTGTCTCCCTTGTTCCAAGCTCCTCACAGTTCACTCCCTTGTCCCCAGCCAACCACTAGCTCCTCACAGTTCTCTCCCTTTTTCCCAACCAACCACTAGCTCCTCACAGTTCTCTCCCTTGTTCCAAGCTCCTCACAGTTCACTTCCTTGTTCCCAACCAACCACTAGCTCCTCACAGTTCTCGCCCTTGTTCCCAACCAACCACTAGCTCCTCACAGTTCTCTCCCTTGTTCCAAGCTTCTCACAGTTGTCTCCCTTGTTCCAAGCTCCTCACAGTTCTCTCCCTTGTTCCCAACCAACCACTAGCTCCTCACAGTTCTCTCCCTTGTTCCAAGCTCCTCACAGTTCACTTCCTTGTTCCCAACCAACCACAAGCTCCTCACAGTTCTCTCCCTTTTTCCCAACCAACCACTAGCTCCTCACAGTTCTCTCCCTCGTTCCAAGCTTCTCACAGTTCTCTCCCTTGTTCCAAGCTCCTCACAGTTCTCTCCCTTGTTCCCAACCAACCACTAGCTCCTCACAGTTCCCTCCCTTTTTCCCAACCAACCACTAGCTCCTCACAGTTCTCGCCCTTGTTCCAAGCTTCTCACAGTTCTCTCCCTTGTTCCAAGCTCCTCACAGTTCTCTCCCTTGTTCCCAACCAACCACTAGCTCCTCACAGTTCTCTCCCTTGTTCCCAGCCAACAACCAGCTCCTCACAGTTGTCTCCCTTGTTCCAAGCTCCTCACAGTTCACTCCCTTGTCCCCAGCCAACCACTAGCTCCTCACAGTTCACTTCCTTGTTCCCAACCAACCACTAGCTCCTCACAGTTCTCGCCCTTGTTCCAAACCAACCACTAGCTCCTCACAGTTCTCTCCCTTGTTCCAAGCTTCTCACAGTTCTCTCCCTTGTTCCCAGCTCCTCACAGTTCTCTCCCTTGTTCCCAACCAACCACTAGCTCCTCACAGTTCTCTCCCTTGTTCCAAGCTCCTCACAGTTCACTTCCTTGTTCCCAACCAACAACTAGCTCCTCACAGTTCTCTCCCTTTTTCCCAACCAACCACTAGCTCCTCACAGTTCTCACCCTTGTCCCAAGCTTCTCACAGTTCTCTCCCTTGTTCCAAGCTCCTCACAGTTCTCTCCCTTGTTCCCAACCAACCACTAGCTCCTCACAGTTCTCTCCCTTGTTCCAAGCCAACAACCAGCTCCTCACAGTTCTCTCCCTTGTTCCAAGCTCCTCACAGTTCTCTTCCTTGTTCCCAACCAACCACTAGCTCCTCACAGTTCTCTCCCTTGTTCCCAGCCAACAACCTGCTCCTCACAGTTCTCTCCCTTGTCCCCAACCAACCACTAGCTCCTCACAGTTGTCTCCCTTGTTCCAAGCTCCTCACAGTTCACTCCCTTGTCCCCAGCCAACCACTAGCTCCTCACAGTTCTCTCCCTTTTTCCCAACCAACCACTAGCTCCTCACAGTTCTCTCCCTTGTTCCAAGCTCCTCACAGTTCACTTCCTTGTTCCCAACCAACCACTAGCTCCTCACAGTTCTCGCCCTTGTTCCCAACCAACCACTAGCTCCTCACAGTTCTCTCCCTTGTTCCAAGCTTCTCACAGTTGTCTCCCTTGTTCCAAGCTCCTCACAGTTCTCTCCCTTGTTCCCAACCAACCACTAGCTCCTCACAGTTCTCTCCCTTGTTCCAAGCTCCTCACAGTTCACTTCCTTGTTCCCAACCAACCACAAGCTCCTCACAGTTCTCTCCCTTGTTCCCAACCAACCACTAGCTCCTCACAGTTCTCTCCCTTGTTCCAAGCTCCTCACAGTTCTCTCCCTTTTCCCAACCAACCACTAACTCCTGACAGTTCTCTTCCTTCTTCCGACGTCATATAGCTGGAATATTGCTGAGTGCCGCGTTAAACAACAAACCAACCAACCCACCAAATCTAATAACCTGGACCTTTTTTTGAAACTGTGCAAGGTGCGATGGAGGGAGGTACGTGTTGTGTGTCACAGCCGGTTCCACTTAGTGTATGTGCAGTAAGCTATGTGTGTTTGCGGACAACTGTAGACAGTCATGTTCATGATATTTGTACCTCCACAATTAAAGATTATGATCTTAGCGAATATCTGGGTCTTAAATCCAAGCTGTATTGCAATGGCGCTTAGATTTGTTTTGCATGTGGAAGAGAACAAATGTAAGGTGACTGTAGGCGCCTAAGATTGTTGTAACTAATATTGTTCTGGTGCAAGTGGGACCAGCATTAGTATTGACTCCTACAAGCAGCCACACCCACATCCACACATGGCCTTAAACCACATTTCATCCCAGCCTAATCAGTGTGATGAAGAAAAGAGTGCTTTTGTATACTTTTATTTCACTTTAATGTTATTTAGGGTAAGAGAAATCTGTAAAAGACAACTATTTTATATCTTGCCTTTGATGCAACATCTCAACAATAAGTTTTGGTTCAATCTTACTTCTGTTGTAGATGCAAGAGCTAGGGCAGCCCCCGAAGGAAATAGTCGGAGAGATGGTAAGTTCTCACTCACTCACTCACTCACTCACTCACTCACTCACTCACCTATTCACTCACCTATTCACTCACTCACTCACTCACCTATTCACTCACTCACTCACTCACTCAAACTCTCACCCACTCACTCACTCACTCAGTGACTCACTCAATGACTCACTCAATGACTCACTTGGTGACTCACTCACTCATTGACTCACTCATTGACTCACTCACCCATCCTCACTCACTCACTCAAACTCTCACTCACTCACTCAGTGACTCACTCAGTGACTCACTCAATGACTCACTCGGTGACTCACTCACTCATTGACTCACTCACCCATACTCACTCACTCACTCACTCACTCACTCACTCACTGATATTGTTGTTTTATGAACATTTTCTATTCTCTTTAAAACTGGAATTGTGCATCTGGTCTGTATAAAGAGGTTTGGTTTGGACTGGTTTAACTGTAGTTTTCTCAGTGTTGATATAATGAAAATGAAGTACTTTGTACTTTCAGGACTTATCACCGTATTTCAGAAAATAATGAATGAACTGTTTCATTTCAGGCCCCAGGTTTAGAATTTGATGACAATGGCATCCCCAAGTTGCCGGGGATGACAGAACAATGTGTCGTCATGTGAACAAGAGAGAGCATTCACCCATCCGTCTTTCCCCTGTCAAAGGGAGATAAGTTGAGATGCAGTCTTAGAGTTCTGTCCCTTGGATCCAGCCCCTCCTAGGACAGATGTGTTGTGACTGCTGATGACTGACTGACTGTGTGTATATATTTCATGGCTGCATGAGTGTTTCTTAGACGTGTGGTATGTGTCAAAGTGTGTTGCTTCTGCAGAAGAATGGACTGCTGGATTAAATGGAAGAAATCGCACACTGATTGGAGCTTGGTGGTTGATTGGTCCAAAAATATTTTGTTTCTTTAAGCTTCATTTTGTAACATGGCCAAATCATGAAAAGAATCCGTGAAATGTAATCAGAAATGAAAAACAATAATTATTTACACCATGTGTACAAATATAAAAAAAATAATTTCCAACAATGAAACACAGAGGGCTGCCATTGAGTGAAGCTAACTGTGTTATATTATAATCAGAGGCTTCTCAAAGAGGGTCCTGTAGTCTGGTATAATGTGTCTGAGTGGCGTATTCATGTCAAACTGCGGCATGGTATCTCAGTGGGCAAGCTCTATAAACTGGCATATGTCCGGACTAGTACAAGCAGCCCCCCCTACACACACACACACACACGCATATGCTCACGCTCACCCACGCACACACATGCACACACACACGTGCATGCACATCGCTATATACCGTATTCGACGTAATAAGCGCACACGGCGACATTTGCTAAGATACTGGCTAGTGAACAATCCCAGTTAGCTCCCCTTCCGATTTATCAATGTACACAAGTCTTATTTATTCGCGTATAATACGCACTCGTGTGTTATATGCACCCTTAATTGTGGGCAATTACATTCTAGAAAAATATATCTGTCGTACATAAACATTTCAGGCTGTCAGCATTAACCACGAAATGTATCTTTCACAAAAATAATATTCTAATAAGAGCCCCCTATTTCTAATTTTGAGAGCGCCCTGGGCGCTTATTACGTCGAATACGATAAGTGCAATAATCTTGGACGCAATGTTAAACCCAATTTCACCTCAGCTTGCCCACTTGCTTCCCTTGCAAGTTTCATTCACTTGTTCTGTGGCCACGTAACAGTCATCTTCCCGAGGCAAGAGAGTTAACAGACTTAGAAAGTCCAGTTTCCACCTTTGCCGAACTAGGCTGGAATTCCTGGGCTCGATCGTAGGGCCACCAGTGGCTATTACAAGTTATGTCCTTTCTATGCCTTTGCTATGGACCAATCCGATTCCACCTCTCGTATCATTTGCATTTGCTTCAAACAAAATGGCGGCCCCCAGTCAAGACGATCTGAACGATAATCAAGATCTATATCGTGATAAAACAAGTCTTACATCGTGAAGTGCATCAAAACACTTGAGCACCTTGATTAAAAACATCCAAAGACATGCTTTGCAAATCCTGTAATTGATCGAAATCTGCGTGACATATACCAACCGGATTTCGATTTCGTTGCACGATTTTGATTGGACTCGTTAGTCCAGCCAAAATGTAACTCCATAATACCAGGCTAGTTCAACAAGGGTGGAAACTGGACTTTTAAAGTTAGTTAACTCATTTGTCTCGGGAAGATGACAGTAGTCAGGGTAAAGAACACAGACTCAACCATGTTCCAGTATCTAAACTGTTGGATCTAATTGACACCTGAACACATTACAGGTAGGTCCAGTGTTTTGCCCCGGCCCTATTCCTTAAATCGATCAACACCCGTCGGTAACTTGGTTGATTGTGTGTCATTGGAGATGTTGGGGTACCCTATGTGGGGAAAAGTCAGGTAAATATTAGCTTCATTCAAAGTTCGATACTATCTTTGGCAAGTACTGATAGTACTGTGGGATACTTATGCTTAAATTAACCTTGAAACTAAAGTGGGTGTCAAATTGGCTGTTTAACCGTGTGTAATCAGAGACATGTTATTGTGATTTGAAACCACTGATTGACCAGGTGCAATAAAGCACACTCCAAGGTCATGGTAAATTGTGATGAGCTTGAAATTATAAAGTCTGCTATAACAGTTATATATTTTCTGTTTCCATGATACACGAAAATGATTCTCAAAATATGTCAAGTGTATATTTAAAAAGAATGACATGTTATTATCTTAATGAAAAGTGGAGAAGTATAAATATATTTAACACATGTTGTATAATAATAATAATGTATACTCACCGCCAAAAGAAACACGAACCACAGAAGGGATGTTTCCAACGTGTACCAATTAATGACAAAACTAACAATCAGTCAAGTGTTACCACAGATTGACTTTATTCTTATCACGATATCCAAACTTTACACACTAATTCTGCCTGAGACAAATCTCGAGTCATGGATCTATGACGTCCCATGTGATGCGTTCATGAGCATCGGTGCACACAACATACCAGTATGTTCGTTGGTCAAACGAACCAGTCTAATATCTCTTGAATATGAGTAAGTGTGCAACATGTATGGTATCCGCCTCTCTTTTGGTGGTGAGTAAGAATTACCGTATTCAACGTAATAAGCGCCCACGGCGATATTTGCTAATATACTGGCTAGTGAACAATCTCAATTAGCACCTCTTCCGATTTATCAATGTACACAAGACTTATTTATTAGTGTATAATACGCACTCGTGTGTTATATGCACTCTTAATTATGAGCAATTAAATTCTGGAAAAATATATCTGTGGTGTATAATACGCACAGACTTTTCTTTTATATCATTTCAGGCTGTCAGCTTAAACCACGAAATTTACGATCTTTCAACTCTGTTTTTTTTCACCAAAATTTTATTCTCATAAGAGCCCCCTGTTTCTAATTTTGAGAGCGCCTGGGTGCCTTTAACGTCGAATACGGTATTTGTACATGATAGATATATTTTGGCGGTGAGTATGTAATAGTTGTACATGATAGGTGTGTGATTACTGTGTGTGTGTTCCCGAAGTCGGTATTCAGTGTAGTATATAGTGAAGACCATTAAAGTCCCATCCCATACATATGCTATGGAATATTGTGTATGTTGTACCTACTGCATCATCGTGAATGTATCCATTATGTTGATAGGACTGTAAATAGTATCAGAAGAATGCATCAATTATTGAAAGGGACTGTCACCATGGTAACAGAAGGCATCTGTGTTGTGCAAGGGACTGTCACCATGGTAACGGAAGGTAGAATGCATCTTTTTTGTGCAAGGAACTGTTACCATGGTAACAGAAGATAGAATGCGTCTATTTTGTGCAAGGGACTGTTACCATGGTAACAGAAGGTAGAATGCATCTTTGTGCAAGGGACTGTCACCATGGTAACAGAAGATAGAATGCATCTATTTTGTGCAAGGGACTGTCACCATGGTAACAGAAGGAAGAATGCATCTATTTTGTTCAAGGGACTGTCACCATGGTAACAGGTGGTAGAACACATCTATTTTGTGGAAGGTACTGTCACCATGGTAACAGAAGAAGGAATGTATCTATTTTTTGCAAAGGACTGTCACCATGCTAACAGAAGGTAGAATACATCTATTTTGTGCAAGGGACTGTTACCATGGTAACAGAAGGTAGAATGCATCTTTTTTGTGCAAGGGACTGTCACCATGGTAACAGAAGATAGAATGAATCTGTTTTGTGCAAGGGACTGTCACCATGGTAACAGAAGGAAGAATGCATCTATTTTGTTCAAGGGACTGTCACCATGGTAACAGGTGGTAGAATGCATCTTTTTTGTGTAAGGAACTGTTACCATGGTAACAGGTGGTAGAACACATATATTTTGTGCAAGGGACTGTCACCATGGTAACAGAAGGTAGAATGTATCTTTGTTAAGCAAGGGACTGTCACCATGGTAGCGGAACGTAGAATGCTTCAATTTTGTGGAAGGGACTATCACCATGGTAACAGAAGGTAGAATTCATCTATTTTTTCACCATGGTAAGATATGATAGAATGCATCCATTATGTTAATGGGACTATAAACATGGTATTAGAAGGTGGATTGCATCCATTATTTGAAAGAGACTGTAACCATGGTAACGGAAGATAAAATGCATCGCAATGTATTAGTTTTCTTTTTGTCCAGAGTGAGTGAGGGAGTGAGTAAGGTGAGTGAGGGAGTAAGGTGAGTGAGTGAGTGAGTGAGTAAGAAAAGTGAGTAATGAGAGTGAGTGAGTGAGTAAGGGGAGTGAGTGAGTGAGTGAGTAAGGGGAGTGAGTGAGTGAGTAAGGGGAGTGAGTGAGTGAGTAAGGGGAGTGAGTAAAATTGGAGCAATTAAATGAACCACGTGGTCAGACTCGTTGACATGCTTATTTGTGGGTCATCATACGTCAGTGCTTATCATATTGATCACTGGTTTGTTTTGTCAGAGGTCAATGATTTATAAGCCGCGTCATATCATATAAGTTTAATATTGCTTCCTATGAGGTAAATGAACACACACACAAAAATATGCCAGTGCTGTACTCTCTCCTCCCCCCTCCCTCCCTGCAAGACACACGACTGTCACAGGGGGTAGTATTTAAGCTCTGCAGTGTTAGAAATCGGCACTAGTCGTATAGTCCTTGCCAAACTGCCCAATAGTTAAGGTATCATAAGGAGTAGTAGAAATTTGTCATTTTTACAGGTTTTGCCATATGTTATCATTATAAGGACTAGTGGAGTAAAACTGTTAGTTTCTAACCCTGCTCTGACGTATGGTACATATTCAAATCTGGACCCGACAATCCAGTGATTGATAGAACCATCAGTGATCCCCAGGTGAACACACTGGATGTATAATGTATTTCTGTTAGCTCAGTGTACTAGTGGTTGTTTTATGTGTATATAGTTTAGTGTTAAACCTCAAGCCTATATCACCCAGATTGTTATTATTACAAGACAATGTCACCTGGTGTGTGATTGTTATGATATCCATTGGTCCATGTATTGGTGCCCTGTGTTTGTGTGACTGCCTGAGATGTTGCCAAGTGGTTTAGCTCACACTGGCTGGCTGTCCATGTGTAAATGTTGATTAATGTCTTAATGCAGTTTGTCACGTTGTCATGACAACTGATGCTGAAACTTTCCTACACATGTCATCAATAAAAAATAAGCAAATCTAACAGTTAAATTGTAGACTTAAATTTTCTTAACATTTTTTATCAACGTAACAACTAGGTCGCTGGATATTGAAAACGCAGGCAAAATAGTTTCTTGCTTTTAATGGATTTTTTAGCCGAGATGTAGGGGACAAGGAATGGACAAATTGTCTGGGATGATGCTATTGTTGGTGGATGTCAACTGCCAACTTGGACATACCCTCCACCTATTGTGCAG